TTGGGGCGTGAGATAGAAACAAAGCGAGGCGTGTTAGTTGGCAATGGGCTGCCCTTGCCCATGCAGCTCAAATGCTTCAAACACTCATAAAGCAGGCAGCCATCGCAGCCTTGAAGCGCGTACACTCGCTTTGGCCATACATGGCCAAACGCCTGTGCCAAGTGCCGGCTCAATGTGCACGCAAACAGGGCTTACCTTTGGACCTGTGTTCTCAATAAGGTGGTCAAAGGCAAATCCTGCATGAAGCAGGCACAGACCTGGAGACAAGTGTGTGCATACGGCCCAGAGTGTGCGAGCACGCACTCCGAGCCGGCCAACACTCGCTTTGTAAAGCACAAACGGATTTTGACTCTCCAAATCGTTGTGCGGACGGACAATAACGTGGCTTTGCGGAAGAAACCTCGGAGCTCTCTGCCAAATCTTCAGCTTGCAGCATCCATTAGGCTCAATCGTCCTTACCATGGACCAATGGACCCATGTCATACCTCAGTACAGAATTGAATGGCGCGAACGCACAATATTTGCTGAAATTGCATATTTGTCAACCACCTCGGCTACCCCTCAAAGCTCTGCCAATGGGTTTGGGTTGCGGTCATGGTCCTGTCATGTCCATAGCTTCTTTCCCCAAATAGCTGAAAGCTGTTGGGGTTCTAACTTCACAAGATTGACGGCTGGGTGCTAGGCGTGCAGTTGGGGTGCTGGTGCAGATGCTGTTAGGGTGTGCTGTTTGGGGAGCTGTTTGTGGTGCAGGTGACGGTGCGGGCGGCCGGGTGCTAGGAGGCGTGCAGGTGGGCGCTAAAGGGCATGAAGTTTGGGGTGCTGGCGCAGGTGCTGTTTTGGGACTCTGTTGCCTATGCTGGTGTAGTTTACTTGATGACTACCTCTACAGTCACTTCTTGCGTGAGAAAATGCGCGAGCTTGTTCACCAAGGCAAAACAAATCCGAACACCGTACAATCCAGAAGCTGGGCAACAGAGTGCCACATACATGGATCCTGGACCAGACAGCCCTTGCCACCGGAAACCGTCTTGGCAACTGTGATCTTGGCAGGCGACGCAAGGCCAGCTGAGCAGCTGCGCTGAGCTGCGCTGAGGGAGTTCTTTTCGTTTGGCAGGCACGTGCGCAGCGCGCGAGTTCACAGGGGATCTCATCATCGCGTGGGGGCAGTGCGCCAAACTCGAGTCCCACGGGCTTAAGGAGCGGCGCTTCTGGCATTTGGCGGAGGCGTTTCAAGGTACCAAAGGTCGATTTCCAAGTCTGCTCAGACCTTTCTCTCGTTCCGTGCGGGCTCAAAACGTGTTTGAGCATTGCGGCTTGGATTTCTTCACTTGTTTTGCTGGAACGAAAGGGAGTTGCTGCTTGTCACAGAAGCTTGGATTTTGAACAAAGAATTTCCAAGGCTGGGCGTAGCTGGGTTAACCACTTAGGTGACCCACTGAATTGGCTGATCACTCATGTGTTGGTTGCCACTGGCCTGTTTCAGAGATTGCTTCGAGACTTCCGTCAGGCATCGCGACCAAGGTTGTTCGTTGTACTCATGCCAAAATCTGAACAAGGCCGTGCTTTTTGGCTTGTGTTACCGGGTTACCGTGTGTCGGGTTTGCACACCTTCATTTTCCCTTCCAGCACGGTGCAAAGACAGCTGAGTAGCAACTAGCGAGTTAGCAAACTACCAAAGTAGCAAACAAACTAACTAGACAACTGGCCACTGAGCTAACAAACAATCCAGCCCGGGCCAATTTGGGAACTAGACAGCTAGCCCACAATAACAGCAATACATCTACTTCAATATGTTAAATCCTGCAGAGCCACACTGGCCACAGGCTCAAGGACACGACGGCCGAAACACAAACACTGACTGGCGCGAACAACCCCAAGTCATGCTTCGATTTGCCCCCTGACCTGTATGACAAGCTGCATGTGTGCTAGCGGGTTCCTGTAGGGCGGAAATCCTGCCTCGGTCAATCCCAGGCTCTGACCAAAAGGCAGGCTGGGACTGCAACTTTGTAAGCAACATGTGCTCCCAACGGAAGGAAACGGGTGGAGCTGAAGCCTCCGCGGTCCACAATTTCTTGGCCAAGCCACCCAGGCTTGAGGGATCTCTTGCTGACAGCTTGCGCCTCTTTGCCCAGCCTGGAAAGATCTCGGGCTTCCAGGGGCTGGAAGGAAGAGCCTTTTGGTTTTACTTCTCATCCGGACAGTCCAGCAAAGATACCATAGAAGCCTGAGATTCCTGTATGATTTTGCAACCCAATACCGTTACTGGGCTACCGAACGATTGTTCCTTCGTCTGGTGTCTAGTGGCTCTTCTTGGTTGCTCGGCTGACCCAAAACTGCTGGAATCCATTCTATGGGCTTGAGTGGCTGGTCACATCCTGGTTGCAGAGCATGTGCGGCAAGGTCCACCGCGCCTTGGGGGCACATTCATCTCCTCGGCGATAAAGCTGCAAAGCTCCCCTGGGCCCAGGCGCGGTGCGAGTGGCGAGTGAGTCCCTTCAAAGACTGTGGCCCAGGCCTACCAGGTTCTGCAGCTGCAAGAATTCCTCCCCCACAAACTTTCGAAGCTCCACCACGTCCTGGGCAAACAAAACAAAACAAATGCACAGCCAACCAACCAAGCAAACAAAAAAACAAAGAAACAGACACAGACACACACACAGACACGCACAGACACACAGAGACACACAGAGACACACAGAGACACACAGAAACACAGAGACACACAGAGACACAGAGCCAAAGACACAAACATGGGTCACACATGAGACACAATGACTTCTGGGAATCTACGTGTTTGCCCACGAAAACTGCCCAAACTGCCAGTAACTCGCCCACCACCCAGCCCTTCAAAACACACCGCTTCTCCGTTTCTCCCGTGTTATCACGCGCCTTCACTGTGGTGGTGTTGGAACCACGCAGAGTCAGCATTGCATGCCTTAGATTGCGCCAATTCAGGCGAGTTTGCCCGAGCCTCTGAACTTGGCTTCAATTCGATTCCTCCCGCCCGGATGCCAACTTCTGGTTTGAAACAAGCCTACGATAGACATCGACACAGTAGCCACTGCGGCATCTCGCGGATTAGTCAAGTGACCGCAATCAGCCCCTTGCCCGGCCCAGTTGCATGAACTCGGTGAAGGTGACTATTTCACCGTCTTCGAAGAGAAGCTTGCCGTACTCCAGGGCAACTGTGGGGTCCTAAGCAAAACTCATCGGGGGGGCGAAAGTTGAAAGGTCTGACAAGCGGAGTCGACAAATGAGCCTAAGGTCCTCACCGTCCTCACCTCCTTTCGAGGCAACGGGTAGAAAGGGTTCCAAAGGAAAGGGGCGATCAGCCCAGGGCTGTGATTGAAAACCCCTCAGAACGTGCTTCAGTCAAAACTTTCAAGTAGTGGGGTATGGTGAGAATGGTTGCTGCTTATGTATTTGGAATGATTTCGTGCTTGCGATTTAAAAGCATTTAAAGCTTTATGACCATCGCCAACGACCCGAAGTATCAGTCTGAGTGTCAAAGACGCCATCACCTGCAGGCAGTTTTATGCACAGGGGTGGCGGGGGTGGGGTGCTGTAGGATGGATCGAATAGATGGGTGAAGAGGCCGAGCATCTCAGAACACTTCACCATAGAGGGCCACCCACCACGGATGCGCGAGATAGTCCATGAGCACTTCACAACCCTCCCTTGATGAGTGAGATATGTGCAGTCATGCCCATTCGAGCTTGTAGCATGTGGCCGTTGCCCTGAACGGAAGGTAGGACCCCTCTGCTTGTAACAAAGAAAACCAATCATGCCGGGAGCAGAAGAGGGACACCATTGCCGGAGTGACCCATCCGCTGAAGTGTAGCACCCCAAACACCATTCGACTCGAGTCCGAATCAGAGTATTGAGACTCACCCAAAGCCAGCCGAAGATCAAAAGGTGAGCGCATGAAAGGTTCTGAACAGTGCCGTCTTCTTGAGGTTTCATGTGACCATGTGTGAAAAGTCAGAGCCCCTCTATTAAATGGCTTCAAAATCGACTTTAGGGAGGTCCAACGTGTTCGACTAGTACTGGCGGCCGGACGTCCTGTTAAAGGTGCAAAGGAGACTGCGCCAAGCGTCGACACCCAGCTTGCCCAGCGCTTTCAGGGCATCAGGCTTGGTGAAAAGCAACGTGAATTCCTGCGAAGACCATGGGCGCGGGCACGACAGGCAATTGATTTGCAATGTTTGATGTGTTTTTCTCGCTGTTTCACAAGGAAAGCTACGGAAGGTAAGCTATGGACAAGCGGTCCTGAAGCGTGCTGTCCTGCTTCATACTAGTGACGGTGGGAATGCTGCACAGCTTTCGCTATGGTTTACAAACAACTTGACAATCCCCTTGGTTGCAGGAATCCTGCACCGTCTGTTGTGAATTCCGAGAAACTTTGACAAGGGGGAGCGCGATGCGCCGCCTGTTCAATAACAAAATGCGGTTGAGAGAGGTGGTGCAGGATTTTCGTGCGTCAACCGACTCTGCTATTCTGTTTTCAAAAACCCGTGCCCGCAAGGCGCTTGCGCTGAGCGCTGCAGTAAACGCTACATTGAACACTACTTTGAGAACTACATTGAACACAGCCGAGATGACGTACAACCAAACAAAACTTGACATGTGTCCATTTTCCTACAAGTTCAGCCGTTGTGTGGAAGAGATGCAGGTTCTTACGCGGCTTTGGCAGTCTACACTATCGCTGGATGTAGTTTCTGTTGAGGCAAGTTTCGCTGCTAGTGAACCAAGGCTGACAAAACGGTTTGCTGACAGAGCTAATGCGAGAAAACTTTACTGAACTGCGCAGGTCTTTTTAGAAACCCGTGCGGGCAAGGCGCGGGCAAAAACTCAAAGTGCTTCTATTTTTGTCAAAATTAAGCCGGTGTGGCAGAGATGCAGATTCTTACTCGATTTTGGCAGTCTTCACTGTAGTGTTCAAAGTAGCGTTCAATGAATGTTCAATGTAGTGATCAACGCATTGCATGATGCAGCGTTCAGCTACCAACCGCTAGAGCCTCGATTGAGTTGGCAAGTTGCGCTGCTTTTCGCTAGCCGGAAGATAGCTACCGAACGCGTGCTAGTGATCCAAGGCTGACAAAACTGATCATTGCTGCTACGGAAGAAGTTTAATATAGTTGGACATAAAATGGTTGGTGGGACACTGGAAAGCAATAAAGAATGAAAGAGATGAATGGGAAGGCGCTCCCTTCGCTCTTCCCCTCATTAACTTCTTTATTCTTCATATCCATTCCCAGCCTAAGACCTGAGATTCAAAGCTGGGAAAAGGAATGGATATGTGTGAGAGCTGACGAACGACAGCTCCATCTCTTTCTTCGACTTTCTGTGCCGCTTGGTTTACAAACACCCCGCTCCCCTTTGAACATTGCACGTTGCAGGGCCCTTGGTCGCAAACATGTTGGAATGGCCGAAGTCTGCACCACCTGTTGTGAATGCCAAGATACTTTGAAAGGGGGAGTGGGGCGCGCGGCCTGTTCAGTCGCAAAATGCAGAGTTGGTGCAGGATTTCGTCTGTCAACCGAGATGTAAAGTATGTACTGCAGCATGTTGACGATCCTCGCTTTAAGCAGTCTATCAAAAGCGCATGTTGACCAAACCTCCGTCCCTCATAGCTTGACCTGACATTGCCAACAGCTGCTCAGAGAAAAGTCGCAGCTCCTCTTCCGAGATCATTCGGTCGCCATCCTGATCTTGATCCTCATCTGTCCTGATCATTTTCCACAGCACCTTGGCTGAGACCTAACCATATAGCTCCATGACATCCATCTGATCTGTGTCCAAGGCTGCGCAAGCACGAGTCACAGAACACCGAGTTGGGTAACTCTAGAGCAACTCTACGTCTTTTCCGTGATTCCAAAGCATTCACTTGACAGTTTCAAAGGGAGCCCCCTAAGCCCCAGCGCCAAGAAGCATCTGATGGACCGTTTGGTCCGCCTGAACCGTTCCACTCTGAAATCCACATTGCAACAATATCATCAAGAGTTCAATATCTCTGAATATGAAGGTGGCAAGTAGAGCAAGTTCCGACATGCGTTTCCAAAGCGAAGACCACCTGTCATGCTTGAACCTTCAGCGGACTGCAACTGACGGCTGTCAGGTGGGAGCCCGGGGCGTGTTGGCCTTATTCTTTCTTGTCAGACTCAGAACTGCGAACAACTAACAACCCCACTACTCATTACGGAGGTGCTTCGTGGTATTGCAAACTCAGCATAAAAACATGTTGCTGTTCAGTCTTCGGCGCATTCTTCGCGAAGTCGGCGATCAGCTGCTCTCTCTCCATGGTCGAAACGGTTTTCACCGCCTCCACCAGAACTCCCAAAAGCATGTTCATGATCTCAGCGGGCGGAACAGGTTCCCTGTTCCCCCTCTGCAGCTTCCCCAGCCACTGAAAGCAACGGGACCGGCAAGCGCCGAGGGGGGGCTTCCCCATTTAGCAAGCATCCCCCAGACCTGTTGGTTTGGCATGTCCCTTACTACCCTCCACACGGACTTGCTTCGGCTCACCTCTTTTGAAATGGATTCTGTTTCAAAAGGTGCTGCATGGTCTAGCGGCCTCCCGTTCAAGCACCAGCAAATAAATTTAGTGTTGCTGGGACGCTGTGACTCAGTGACTGGTTGAGCATCAGCAGCGTACGTAGTACCACAACTGAGGCCCAACGGGCACTGCCAAGCTAGACTTCACAGCTCTAGCTCCTGAAGTGCTCTAGCTGAGCGCAGGACAATCAAAAAGTCAAGCAGTTAGCGCCTTTTGCAAGCGGTCAACAAACTGATCTGCGAAACGCGGCACGTGGCTCTCCCAGCAGGGCTGTGCACGCGCGCGCGCGCAGTGCGCGTCGCGTGCAATGGTGGCCTGGTGGCAAATTGCATCAACCTCTGCGCGTGCCTTCATCTGCGAGCATTGAATGCCCAACAAACCTCAAGGAATCCTTGGTGGCCTCGCTTTCGAGGAGTACTGGGCTGCCCGTGGCCTTCTTGAAGGTACGATGATTGATGCCCAGTTCCAAGCTCCAAGGCGCTGTCAAAGATCCCAGCAGAATGAAGAGCAAGACCAAGACCCCCATGAACACGCTTTCTGACGCCAGTGTCGTAACAAACACCTCTCAGGGGGCGTTGTAACATGTGAAACCACATGAGCCAAACCGTGCAAGGCACATGGTCATTGCCAGCTATACAAAACCAGTCGCAGTGGGATATCACTATCCACACTAGCCCAAAGTAGCCAGGCAACACTTGAGGCATCCGACTTCGCTTTGCTCATCACAAGGAAGCAGTCCCGCAAAAGCCAACAAACACAGTAGGGATATCCTAACGTTGGGGGGCCTGCTTTGCAAAAGGGGACACATCCACATCCTAGATTAGGGGCCGCGGACATGCCGTGCCTGCTGGTCTGGGAAAATGCATTGCAGGATCCTCAAGTCAAGCAACGCAAGCACTTCCAGCCCATGCGTGGGCGGCATGCAGGCGTCGACATTAACAACAAAGCAGGGCAAACACATCAACGCATAAGATATCAAATGCACACATGAAAGCAAGCAAGCAAAGCAAGGCGAAGCAAGGCAAAGCAATGCAAAGAAAAGGGGAAAAACAAAGCCAGGCCAGCAAGCACGCAAGCAAGCACGCAAGCAAGCACGCAAGCAAGCACGCAAGCAAGCACGCAAGCAAGCACGCAAGCAAGCACGCAAACAAACAAACAGTCAATTAAAACAACAATCAAACTAAATAGAGAAAACAAAGTAAATGGTCAATCCATCAATTCGTCAATCCAACCAACCAACCAACCAACCAACCAACCAAATCAATCAATCAATCAATCAATCAATCAATCAGTCAATCAATCAATCAATCAATCAAACAATCAATTCAATCAATCCAAGAGATTCTGCAAATCGAACCAATCTATTCAATCAAAGCAAATCACATCAACACAAATAGAATCAATCAATCAAACAACCAAGCAAGCCACCAAACAAGCAAGCAAACAAACAACTAAACAAACGCAACACGCAAGCACGCAGGTAAGCAAAGCCAGCAAACAAACAACCAAGCCAACAAGCTTGCAAACAAGCAAGCAAGCAAGCCAGCAAGCCAGCAAGCCAGCAAGCCAGCAAGCCAGCACGCCAGGAAGCCAGCCAGATTGCCAAAAAGCCAAAAAGCCAGAAAGCCAGAAAGCCAGCCAGCCAGCCAGCCAGCCAACACACAAACACACAAACACACATACACACATACGCGACTCTCCGATCAAACCATCAGGGACCAGGGGGCAGCGTGTAAATTGATGCGGCAGTGGATGAGAAGAAGATGGGCTTCAGCGCTGTGTCGTGACTGAGCTCTACAAAGGCGATGGCGAAGGTGAAGGTAATGATGAGAAGAAGCAGCAGGGTGAAGAATACTGAGCGGCACGCCAACATCATTCCTGTGCCGCAGTGGGACAAGCATTAAGGGGCCTCATGCCCGTTTTCGGGCCCTCAGATATTCAACGCACAAAACATGAGCCACTCAAAACCTTGAGGCTTCAGATGCCCATCTAAAAATACATTGAGCTAGAGGCAATTCCTTTGCCTGTCCCCCTTGCCTACGGGTCAATCCCGCTCCTTTGATGAGAATCATCAGCTCTGGCATTTGCCGCACAAGTCTCGCCTGAATTGCTCTGCGCAATCATGGACAACCCGGAACCAATGATTTCGTGCAATGCAGATAGCGCATTTGCCTACAAATAATCCATGTTCAGCAACGGCGTCACGCGCCAATGTGCAAATGCCCCCGTGCTCATCCATGACAAGGGCAAGGGCGCCGCTTTCAGACTAGAGACATGCAAGCAGCGCATGTGGGCTAAACACTGAGCAGCTGCTCCAGCGTAGGCACCGCAACCGGGAAAAACCATTCGTTGCCACCCAGCAGAGACCGGGCACAAATCAGCAGATTTGAGGTTGGGTCAAGGCCCGACAGATCCTTCTTGACCAGGTCCTCCAGTAGAATAGAATAATAAGGGTACCCTTTTTTTGTAGTCTTTTTTAGTAGGGGAACCCTCCCCAAAAAAAGAAACGGTAAAAGCACCTAGCTGGGGGACCTAGTTGACTCAACAGACATTTCGGGGATCAGTTCCCCAGGTGCAACAGGCGGCCAAGTCGCCATCCGCGCCTTGGGGCAAAAGAGGGGCGAGTCGAATCGCTTGGAAGTCCATCGCTTCTCTTTGCTTTTCACCCCTGGTTGCAAGTATGGAAACCTGGGGACCTTCCCTAGTGTAGGATTCTCCAACTCCAAGGGTCACCTGTGGGTCAAAAATAGGGTAACCCCAAAATGGCTTGCCCTGGTAAATGGAGACATGGACTAAAACCTGCGGTCCAATTCCTGGGGTTTAATTTTGACCCATACCCACCTGTTTCTGCTTGAAAAGGCCATAACTGTCCATCATCCGATCGTGCCACTGTTGAGTTTGGAGAATGTAATGCATTGGTGGAGCGATCCAAGTTCTAACCTTTACGAACGCAAACAGCTTTGTCGTAGCGGTGGACATTGCGCCAGTCTTACATGGAAATGCGGAGGTTGGGCTTTAGTACAGACGTTCCCCTCTCTTCTCTTTTCTTCCTTACAAACTTAGGGTCGCCTTTACCTTTCTCAAGCGCAAAAGGGGATTGAGTATGTCCCAGGTTCATCCGCACAACCTCAAGTAGTTGCATAAGTCCGTTGGTCACCCCTACTTGCGCTTTACATGTAATGCGGCCATATTGAGCCTCCAAGGCGGGCTCGACTTTAGGGGGAAGTTTGATCGCAACACCTTGTTCGAAGAGGCCCGGTCTTGTTTGCAAGTCGCCCTGCCCAACCATTTTGTAAAGTACAGGATCATCCTTGATGCCTCATTACAGAATTTGCAGCACAACCTGAAATGGTCCGTATGACAACATACATACATGGACAAGCATGTTGGCGTTGTTGGCTATTTGTTTAAACACAGAAAAAAGGATCCCCTTGTGTACAACACTGCACACCATTAAAACAGAACAACCAATTCGGATACATCCTGCCAAATCACATCGTGCAGTACAGTTGCATCCTTGCCGCCTAATTGCAACATGTGGGCAGTGCCAGGAAACGATAGTTGTTCTTTCACACACACACACACAATTACCCGAGAAGGAGCACGACTCGACGAGGCAACCAAACAACCATAATGCAAAAATGGTTCCTCCAACACCCGTCAATCAACATTGTTCCAATTGCAACTAGAAGCACTGGAAATGAATAAGGGCGATATGCAACTACCGTTGGCCCTGGTGACCAGCTGCCAAGTTCCATGGTTTCTGGGAGCTTCACACATGGCTCCAGCCAAAACCTGCTCAGTTCCACATGACATGGTTGCTTTTTTGTTTGGAAACGGTAGGACAGGGGCCCAGCCGAGTTTCAGTTGGAGGGTGGAAATTCAGATGACTTTCTGGGGCTGCTCAAAGCAAAACTATGTTGCTCATTGCACCACTAAGCTCACTGGGCGAACAGGCATGTAGATGTCTCAAATCTTGGAACAATGTGTCAAAGAACGCCAACATGACGACAACCATTTGGGTCCCCTGGTTCGACACACGCACACATCCAAGAAAATTCAAACACCCTTGGGATCTTCACCACCCCATCTGTCATGTGTATCTTGCTTGCGAGGTGTGTGTGTGTGTGTGTGTATGTGGCTTCAGGAAAGAGCTGTCCCTCTCTCCCCAACTAATTTGCGGAGTAGACCACTGGTCGGCCCTTCTGCAAACTGTTTGGGAAAACGGGTTCCTGCGATTGGTCTACCAAAAGGCTTCCACCAAAGTTGGGCTGTGGGCAAGTCGTTTCGCAAACGCAACAGGTTCTGCGAACCCCTGGGATATACACTTCGCAGAACTCTCTAAAATCTTGATCGAGCTTGACTCTTGCTGTCCAACACACGACCGCCTAAACATTGCGGCAGGCCTTCCAAAGGCTACTCCTACGGTAAGGGGATTTATCTGATGGGCACCCCCAATCAAGTAAAGCAATAAACCCGGGTACCCTTTCGTGTTTAGTTCAGACCGTTGCGAGTGGTTCAATCTACATGTTTTACTTGAACATAATGGGAAAACAATGAATGAGGTTATCAGGAGCTGTCATTAAGCTAGTTTGATCAAGGGATACATGACCTATGCAGCAGCCTTCAATGAACACGTTGGCACACCACCACAACAAAGCCACACCCGGATTTTGTGTGGGCACTTCTGCAAGACCTGAAGTTTGGCCAGCTCTTTTTTTTTCCTATTCGAACACTTGAATTGTTTCAGTCACTTCCCGGGAATTATGATTAGCCGCCTGCAAAGAGCAAAGATATACAAAGAACATCAAAGCAATTCAAAGACCGCATCAGCTAAACTCGATCAACACAGGTTCCCCCTCAACCCACCGGTGTTTCAATTAAAATTGGGGGTGCCTGAGTCCTGAACCAGCACTAACAATTGACACTAGTAAACGAACAATGCAGAGGGAAAACATGGATACCACACTCCCTGCTCTCAAGCCCTGGCCTGGCTGCCTGCTGGAACAAAGCTCTAATTCATGCTGCTTCTGTCGTCCAATGTTTTGCAGGCTTTGGGTGGATCAAGTTAAACTGCCAAAAACATACTAAGACACAAGTTGATGTCCTTGGAAATCCGGGGGTGCCCGAGTACCGGAACGACACTATCACTGAACGCTAGCTGCTTTGTAGTGATTTGCAATGAGCTTTTGCCCTCTGGCGAACCGAAACGAACAACCGACGGAGTACCCAAAAGCAATCTGGGGTTCCCTCAGTCCCTGCTTTTCACATTCAAGCCAGCATCATTGCACCCCATTGCCCCACCTTCTGAGTACTTACAAGTTCAGCTCTCAGTGTATGTTTTGCCCCCCAAACACAAAATGGGTGAAATTCAAAAAGTAATAAGTACACAATTCATACATTCACTATGCAGGTAGCTAAAAAACAATCATTACAAGGATACTCCCTCCAAGGATCGAGGATTCCTAAGGAAACCTATGTCAAAACTTTCCTTTGGGTTTCCTCGTTTGAAAGGATATGATATCAAGGCTGAGGCGCGCTTGCTTGTTCGACAGTCGGCAACATTCCAAGTCACCCTGGCACATCAAGATACACACCGTGACTCCACCGCACCGGGTGACCAAACTGCCAAAACGCGCAGCCCAGGCACTGTCCGCAGTACCCGTAGAATACGTGCCAAGCGCAGCGCACCGGAGGATTGCAGCACGTCTGCAGACTGGTCGAAAATGGTCGATACGATGGGCATAACCTGGGCTTCCATTTAAGGTCGTAGCACGGCTGTACATGTGCCCAGCACACACGGGACACACACACACACACACACACACGCAGCAACCTCAATAGCTTTGAGCTCACCAAGAAATTCGCCGAACAAAGCAGCAAAATGACAGTGCCTGTCATGAAATCGGCACTGACTGACAGCACGAAAAGGCGCATGGAAGTGGCATTGAAGCTATGCTGCCGCGTTTGCTCAAGTAGCGCAAGAGTGCTGGGCCCGAATGTGCTTCATCAATGTTGATCAACCTTGCCTTCACCAGAACAAACCGATTGCCCGACAGGAGGAGGACAGCACAGCTGTTGGAAGACTTTGCCCAAACTTGCGAGCACATTCCAAGCAATCCCATCAGTCCAAATGTATGAATTGTAGTAGTGGACATCCCAACCCATAGTTGACAAGGCATGATTCCCGCAAAGGGGACCAAAAAACAGTGTGTGTGTGTCTGCGTGTGTGCGTGTGTGCGTGCGTGTGTGTGTGTGTGTGTCTTTGTCTTTGTCTGTGTCTGTGTCTGCGCCTGTGCCTGTGCCTGTGCCTGCGCGTGCGTGCGTGCGCGCGTGAATGTGTGTGTGTGTGTGTGTGTGTGAGCGGCACGCGCGCAGCACGGACACAAACAAAGGCTTGCGCGCGCGCACACACACACAAACACGCAAACACGCAAACACACAATCTCACACACACACACACACAAACACACACACACACACAAACACACACACAAACACACACACAAACACACACACAAACACACACACAAACACACACACAAACACACACAAACACACAAACACACACAAACACACACACAAAAACACACACAAAAACACACACACAAACACACACACACACAAACACACACACACACAAACACACACACAAACACACACACAAACACACACACAAACACACACACAAACACACACACAAACACACACAAACA